GCCGCAGACCGCCTCCGATCAGCAACGCCCTCAGAACCCCGCCACCGAGCCGAGACGATTCCACATGTCCAGGTCGGCCATGAGTTCGCCTGGGGGCAGCACTATACTCAAGGCCGGCGGTGTCTCCAAGCGGGGACGCTACGGGACAGCCGTGTTCGTGGAGCGGGGGAAGAAGAAGAGCGCACGCCGGGTCGCCACGGCGTCTGGCGGCACCACACCGACGACGATGACCACGGAGGGTCTGCCAGCTGATGTTGAGATGAAGGAGGACCACAAGCCGGCGCCTAAGAAGCCACTTGCCAAACGCCCCCCTCCCTCGCGTGCAGCCTCCGAGGCGACGACAGGGCCGGAGACGCCTAGCGGAGAGCCGCAGCGCAAGCCCATGCCCGGCGCGGCTCCCACGCAGGATATGAGCAAGATCGCGGCCGACATGGACCAATGGGTTCTCCACGAGATCGGGCTGAATCTCCAGGCTATGGAGCAGCAGCCGCCGCAGCAGCCGCCGCGCTCGCCGTCCGCCGTTGCGTCGCCTTCACGCTTCAAGCCCAAGGCGCCAGCCAAACGCTTTGCCGAGCGCCACCCGGAAATGGTCAAGAAGCTCAATGGCGGCGACGAAGCCATGACGGAGGCGAGCGAAGACGACGACGAGAGCGACGACGACTACGTTATTGAGGTGTACGAGCTCGCGCCTTCGAAGTCGGTGCTGGCGGAGATTCCGCCCGAGCAGATTGGTGTGCTCAGGTTCGATTCGCAAGAGGATTTGGAACTGTTTTACGGTAACGAGGACGACGATTCGGATCTTGACGATGATGAAGACGAGAATGGTAAGTCTGTGGACCGAACAAAGCTCTGTTTCTCATTTACTGACATGAATGTGCGCATAGCCGAGAATCACTACACGGCGGATTACCCCGAAGATGAGGTCGATTCCGAGGACGAGTACGATCGCCACGCCTACTTGTTCCGCAACGCCAATGCCTCGGATGAGGAGGAGTTTGACACCCGCGATCCGTACGAGGACGAGGACGACGATATGTACGTCATGGAGGGTGATGAGCGGCGGGACGAGGACGACGTCTTTCAGGACAAGATTCGGCGTTACATTCGCCAGCACGGCGACATGTAAAAGCACGGCGACATGTAAAGTGTCCGACCTAATTGCTGGGTGGATTAGCCTCTGAACTTTTTCGAGAATAATACCAAAAGGGTAGCTTTCAATATTCAGTCTATGTTCACACTACTGCGTGAAAAGCTAAGTGAGGTTATGGCTCCGATGACATTTGTACTGAGGAAATGTATGGTGTGTGTGCAATTGAAGTAGCCTATTTATCCAACCTTGAAGTGGAGTCAAGAGAGAGTGCTTCTCCTTCACGTAAGTACAAGAGGTAAATTCCTCGATTCCACATCCAAAGACCCCCTTGGAATAGGCCAATATCTCCTCCGAACCCAGATTCCCATCTAATACTCCAGCTGTAAAAGGAAAAAAATAAATAAATACAGAATATGCTGCATAAAAGCGCCTTTGCTGATGCGAGACGCCGGGTTTCAATTCCGTTCCACGGGCTTGAAGATGATGCTGCATCCCAGATCTAGTAATGGAAGTTAAGAGTGTTTGCTGTCTCTTGTATGTGTGTGTGTGTGTGTGTGATGGCTCCAGAACGCCAAGTAAATATGTGAGCCATGTGACGAAGAAATCGTCGGAAAGAATGTGGCTGGCTGGAAAGACTTCTTCCCCAAGTGAGACCCTGAAGTCTCACTTACACGATCACGAGCTGAAGAATTGTCTCCCACTACATAATCGTGCACGCCCCGACGGTTCGACCCCGCCTCCGACCGCCGTTACCGCCCTCCTCCTCGTCGGCATGCAACATTTGCGCCTCCCTCGCTCTTCGTCTGCGCCGGCGGTGACCGGCGCCCGTGGTCCCGGCTTCCTCGCTCGCCTGCATGTAATCCGCCCACCGGTGCTCGAGGCGGTTGGCGGCAGCGAGGTCCCCGCGGAGCACGCGCTTCATGTGCTCGTCGACGGTCATCTGGAACTTGTAAAAGCACTTGAGGCCAATGGCCTCGGACGCGTAGGCGAACTTGCCAATCTCGGCCATGGACGGCTTGGACTGCGCGTTGCGGAAGAGGACCTCGCGGATGCCGGTCCAGGTGACGTTTTGACAGTCGTAGACGACCATATGCAGGCCGACCTTGGGTTTTGGCTTGACGGCGTTGCTCTGGGAGCGGTTGCTGACCATGAAGGCCGCCTCGGCGAGGACAAGGTCGCTGATGCGGGTGTTGTCGAGATCGATGGCCCGGAGGCTGACGCAGTGCTTGACGATGGGGAGGACGCCGCTGTCGCCGAGGTTCTCGCAGTAGCTGATGGAGAGGTGCTCCAGCCACGGCGCGCAGGGTGCCTTGGCCAGGTGTTCTGAGAAGAGGGCGTTTGTGAGGTCGGAGAGGTCTTCGAGCTCAATGTGTGTGAGGCGCGGAGTCGATGCGAAGATTGGCTCCAGCGCGGCGTCCGTGAGGGCGGTGCAGCCGGACAGGCGCAGGCCCTGGAGTTCCGGGACGTTGTATCCCAGAGCCTTGACGCCCTGGGAAGTCAGACGGGCGCAGCGGCTAAGGTCGAGATGACGCCATTTCCTCGGGGGAACGATCGGTCGGTCGGTGAGGATATCGATTTCGGGGTCTTCGCCGTGAACCATGACCTTGAGCGCGCGGTCGTTGAGCTCGGCACAGCCGTTCAGAACCAGTCTTTCCAGCCTGTTCGTCTTGTATATCGTTTCGGCGACCTCAAGATTGTCGAATCCTCTGACCTCTCCCGCTCTCAAATCCTTCAACCTCGGACACCCTTCGATTACTGCCTTGATACCTCTCGCGTCCATATGTACGCACCATGAGACGTTGAACATCTCCAGCTGCGGACATGACTCGGCAATGATTTTGCACGACATGTTGGTAACCGCTGTCAAACCAGTCAAATTGAGCTGAGCGAGCTTATCGTTCGTTCTCAACAGGCTGTGTAACGTGTTGCGCTGGAAGTTGCGGCATCCCTCGAGCGTCGCGTTGACTAAGTTCTTGCAGGCCTTGACGACTACCTCGGCCCTCTTATAGTGTTCGACCTGAACGCAGCCCCTGAGGTTGAGGTCCTTGATGAAGGGCCCAGCGGCTACGATGATTCTTGCAAGAGATTCGGCAGGGATGATTTGGTAAAATTCCGTGGCGTCAAAAGACGTCCAAAGCTGTCCATCAAAGCAGATCTTGTGGAAAGTCTTGCTAACTCGTGAAGCTCGTACAAGCTGTTTGGGTGATAGATAGGAGAAGATGTGCACGCGCATCTCGTGTGGCATGTTCTCCCAGAAGTTGAAGCCACGCTTGGGAACCGCGGGGTTGGCAACCTGGGCTTTAATCGTCGTCCTTAAATCGGATGGGAGTCCAATGGTTTGGGCTCCCGGTGATTGCGTAGTAGGGAAGACATTGTCGACCCGGCGAATAGCAAGTCGGCCATCAATGCCTACGAACTGAATGATTTCGCTAGATGGTGTTCCTGGAACGGAAGATGAGGCACTGGCATAGCCTGATGCTGTTGCGCCTGCGGGGAAATAAGAGTCGCCAGTGAACGAGGTCCCCGCGGTTGAGGGTCCTGCCAAGCTCACGCAGGAAACGTTGCCCCTCGGACGTTGAGGATTGCTGTGTGATCTAGTGCGGCCACTCCTCGCCAACGAAGGCGTGGACGACATTCGTTGCACACCACAGAGCACGCGGTGCCGGCCTTTGGCTTTTCCTGAGGGATTTGAAAGGCCTGGGCCTTGCTCATCAACGACTTCCATAGGAGCCGGACCGGCGGGGATTTCGATGTCAGCCATAGCGAAGACTTGACCAAGTGAGATAGCTGGTTGAAGGACAAAACGCCTCTAGACAAGGAACAGAAGACGTCGAATAATGCTGTAATTTTTTGCCACAGTCAAATTGCGACCGAGTCCGTTTTCTCAAAGTTGCGCAATTTCTCCCAGTATCGTCTTTGTTGGCGAGGTTTGGTAGCGCGGGGCAGTGAAGCTGAGCTCGGTGGTCCACGTCTTAGTCCCGGTGAGTTGGGAAAAGGCTCGGAACGGTCGGCGGATGGTCCTATTTCATATTCGACGTCGCAAGAGATGATCGCAGGCACACAGAGAAACAGACGAAAGACAGGCCAAGTCTCTAGGAAGACGGATGAGACATGAAGCGCGAGTGCTCGGGGAGAGGTTATGGTCTTGAAGGCTGTCGGCTCTCTTAGAAGGGGGGTCAGGATGGAGGGGTGGCCAGGGTCTAGGGATTTTTGGTGGAGATCTGCTATCTGAACGGGTGTGAGCCGGCTATCGATAATGGAGGTCAGCCGGTGCAGGTAGCGGGGTGTGGAGCCTCAGAAGGCTGGAGGAAGGGGTCCTTACGGGTTGGGGCGGAGCACATGGCACACGGAAGACTCAAGATATCATGGCCTCTGATTCCTGTGTGGAAGGTCACACGAGCAGGATGTGTCTGGGACACGAACAAGGCTGCGAAGAGTGAGAGAGGGGATGGTGAGAGGGTGGCAGTTGAAGAAGAAGAGAAGAGGTCGGCGGATGGGGGGGCTAAAAGAGAAAGAACAAGAGAAAAGTTGTCGAGTCGAGCGGAAACAAAACCACTCACACATGGAACGACCGACACAATACCTTACTGTGGTAGACCGCACCGAAGGCCGGGTAAGGGGAGTAAGTAGAAGCTTAAAACGCGCTCTGGACGGAAGCACAAAACGGCCCTCACACCCCCCCCCCCCCAATCCCATCCCATCCCATCCCACCATCCATCCCCTTTGTGTCGGCGAAACAAGGACCCTCCTTATCGATGGACACCGATGGGTCCCGGGTTCGCCATACATAATGCCCATCACTCACACCAACGGGTCAGTCTGACGGTCGACAGTGCTCGTAAATGCCTCCAGGGCCAAGGGTCTGAAGATGGCTACTGGCGATGTTCTCATGTCTCTCTACCTTGCTTTACTATGCACATACAGCAGGCTGTTCGGGATTTCGGCTGCTTGGAGCCAAGACTTGGGAAACAAAGTCCCCGCCGAAACGAATGGAGCTGGCTGGGATATTCTCACCTTCCTTTCTAGCCGGATCCAATAGCTCTGTATAGCTGGGGGAAAGGCATGGCGGCGGAAAAGAGTCTGGAAGCAGAAGCCACCGCCAGTACGAGCAAAGAGGCACAGTGAGGGCCAGGCCAGACCAGAGGAGGCAAAAAAAAAAACGAGGCAAGACATGGGAACTCAGAGAAGTCGACAGTAGCGGCCGAAACGCAAGAAAGATACCTCTGCCGTGAGGTATCCACATGGTGCATCGTGCGGGGCCCGTGGTCCGGCGCAAAGAGCGGGCAGGTGGGGGAAGGACGAGGGGGGAAGAAGGAGGGGTCCGCCCGGAGTGCAGACAGGAAAGCCCTCTTCTTCCTCGATGTTACCCTCTCCAATCGTTACGGCTGCTGGTGAATAAAAATGGATCACAGAAGATCCTGGCTCCACTTTACACAGCCATTCAGACCGCTGCTGACTGACACCGCACTTGCCCCCCCAAGACCCCCAAGAGGCGGGAGCGAGAGCATGACATGAGCACTTGTCCAAGTCACCTTCTTCCTTTTCGTGGTACCATCACCATCCCTCATCCCGCCATTCTTTCAGTCAACTGACGTGCAATCCGACGAGACAAATTCCCAGAAGCAATCTATCTGCCTTATCATCACCGCCAGGTCATGGTACGTCAGGCACAACACGGCTCGTCGACCATACCTCGTTCATGCTCCGAAAAAGACACACTATGTCCTGCTGCATTCAGCAACATATCGCAGGGTCCTCCGCCTCTTGAGGGTCTACAATAAGCAGGGACCTGAACACCAGATCTGCAGGACGAATCCTGAGCGGTACCCAACAGTCTCTAGCTCGCTAGCGTGTTGGCTGGACCCTTGAACTCTTGAACGCACTTGGTGTGGTGTATCTGAACCGACTAGCAAGTTGCAGCACGGCTTCGCCGTTTCTATCATCGCTCATTGGAGGAACTTGCTCCTCACTTCTCCAACCGCCATCGCCCTCGCCGGGACGTTCAAGGCGTCTTTCCGCTCACTGTCTGCACGGCCGCGGCGCCGTCTCTCGAGCCTGTCAGAGCATTCCCACAGTCCTTCCTGGGACCACTTGCGTTGCGGATACTTTTGTCTCTTCTCCATCTGAAGTCGTTGTTGGGAATAAGTTGCCGATTGTCCGACTCGGGGAAACAACTGCACTCGAAACTGGCGGGAGCGAACTGACTCGTCAAGATACAAGGTCAAATAAGGTACGGATATGCCAAGCTCAGATTTGGCAGGACGTTCTTGTTTCTGATCGATTTCGGTCAAGGAACATGTGGTTGGGTGCGAGGCAAGCACCTGGGTCGGTTGCTGCTCTTAGATACCTTTCCTCGTGCCAAAGCTGACATGGAGCATGTCTTTGGTGTCCCAGCCTCCCCGCAGACGGCATTCGATCCGACTTTTGCCTGTCGGAGGAGAATGCCATGTTGGCGGCCGAACCCCGTCTTTTTCTCTCTCCCTCGCTCTTTGCCGTAGCTGCATCCGAACAACCTTAGACGGGGAACATTCTCTGGAACCCGAATTCGGAGGTTTTGGCGGGGCTGGCACTCCCGCTCCACGTTTACGAGAGACACGGTGACAATCGAATCTGTCTTCAGAATCCTTTCTTTCTGAAGATCCTCGCCACAGCTCTTTCGAGAGCTCCAAGAAAGCCGTGCGGCTGGTAGGTAGCTGCTTAAGAGGCAAGCGCTGCAAATCTTCCGCCATGATCGGTCCGGATTCTGACCCGTCAGTGGGACCAGCACTGTTCGTCTGAAGCTTGGCCGAAGCTGACATCGCCGCGCTCTGTTTGGAAGGCACATGTTCTTCTTTCTAGCCGGTTGATTTTGCAGTCTTGGCAGGGTCGCGAGTCTTTGGCAGATCTGCATTCAGATCCGTCATGGCAATCTGATACTACGATCCTGAACACGTTTACGAGTTTTCCACGCCCTAGCCCCGTTTTGTCAATGCAGCGGCTCTAGCACCACTAGACACACATTCGCTTGGTCGCCTGATGCAGCTCAACCCGAAAATCGGAATTCTGCGTACCGTCATGACATATCATGCGACCCGGGTACGAGATAAGAACGTAGCAAGCGGTGAGCCACGCGACACCTCGTCACAGACTCTGGTTATCTAAGAAGATCGCAAAGTATGCCCTAGTACAGAGAGAACGCTCTTCTCATGCCGCTCTCTTGTCTCGGTACCCTCCACAAGATACGACTCTACCGCTCATCGACTCCTTGCCAAGTGATCTCCATTATGTAGTCTGGTGACCGGCTGTCTCAAACCCCATCCGTACAAGAGCTACACTTTGAGGCAGATTGACAGTTTCTCGGCTACGCAAATCGCGAATTTGTCAAACTAAACGGACAATGCTTCGTTGTCTTGGATGCGACAGAGACAAATCGCATCCGCTCACCCATACCTGGATAGCGAGTGTCACAGCTTTGATGCAGAACCCGAGCCGTAGGTCGGTCGTGCACTTACTTTCTCAGCTTACCTTGCCTCGGGACGAAAGGAAAGTTTTACTACTAGCTGCTGTGGTCAATATAAACCACGTGCTGCTCAAGTACTTAAGGTACCTTTCGATTGCCGATAGCTTCCGATAAGATAACAGGTACGCATGTGTTCTGGACCGGCCGCCAAAGGTACCAGGAGCTTAGGTAGGTATGTAGAGCAGCTCATCGCTAATATGTTCCGGTAACTTGGTTACAACGGGAAACGACCTCGAACCCTGCTGATATCTTGGCAGATAATGCCAGCTCGTTCACTTGATTTCCGACTCTCCTGCGGCGTCGTCAAGGTTGTGTAGACTTGTTGGTGGTACATGCGAGACCGAGAAGGAGACTAAAGAAAGTCGCTGTGCTGTCATAGCAAGCTCGATGGGATTGGAATTCTTCGATTCCAGCAAAGAGAACGCCAAATGCGGGGTTGCCGGCAAGCCTGGAAAGCGACCATGTCGCCGAAATTCTCGTCAACAAACTGCGCGTGTTGCTCACCTAGCTATCGTGCCAATCACGATTCACTGAGACCACAACCTACCTAAAGTAACAAGAGGATCAATGAGTTGCCGTCACGATTCCAGCAATGCTGCGTTCGCAAATGACATTATCCAACCAGTCAAGACCATGGCCTTGTCTCTGTTCGTACCTTGAGCCTACTTTCCGTAAAGACGGAAGTACGGCTCAAGCGTAGACAAAGATAACTTGGGGAAGGGCACTGACGAGGCGCCGCTTATTCATTGACTCTAGAATCGTCCTGATCCAAACGGCCAGCTTGCCAATGTTTTCCTTCCTGGTTTTGCTCAGAGACGGGTAAGCAAGACCTGATAATGTCAGGGAGGCACATCAACTGCTCAGTCGCTCTGACGGGGTTGTTTGCAACGACCCCGACTCTCTTATTTCCGGCTTTTGCGGTTCGAATCGATGGTGTTGATGAAGAGGCTCACAGATACCTCAATTGGAGAACACGCTACTCTGTGCTTGATATGTAAAGCATGGTAGATGACAACTTGGGTCTGGGCAGTTAGCAGGAGGTTGCGTTGCCACTGATGCTACGCCTTGAAAAAAGATATCTACAGGGATTTGCCCCGTTGTTCTGGTGGTTGGTGGGCGGACGACGGAATGTGTGTTTTTTTCATCGTCGGCAGCTATTAGCTGGCTTATCTTTTCCCTGCTCGTCCGTTTTCTCGTCTCAATTCCGGCGGTTCGGCAGGAGAAGAGCGTCGATAACGTTTGTTTCGGATGGCGAGTAGGGCAAGTCGAACATGGAGAGTCTACGGATAAGAGGCATTGCCCAATGAGTATCAAGCATGTTTGGGAAGCGTTGGGCGGCGGGCCACTCTAGGCGATGATGGCTCAACAGCGGCTTCAGTCAGGCACTGTAATGCCGGCCTTGGCTGCGGCAATGTGACGTATCCCAGGATAAGGTATGCTGTCCCTTTCTTCGCTGGTGTTCTCCCCGGGAGATTGGGGCCGCTCAATGTTGACGTGGTGGGTCCGCCGCCGGTCCAGCTGAAGAGCTTTGCTGCTTCACGTGCATGTCCCCTCCAGGTCTGCTTCAGGTGAGGTGGTGGATAAAGTGAGTGAGTGAGTGAGTGAGTGAGTGAATGTGTGATGAGACTGAGCTTCAGCATGAAGTGAGGAGTGAGATAGGTACAGCTCGATGAATGTGAAGGGTACGGGCTTCAGGCGTGCCCCCCACTTTGCAGCCATGTTTTCCAGGGCCACTGCCGCATATTAAGCCCCCCAATCAGTGATGCGTTTGCTTTTCGAAGCTGTAAGTCAAGCTTGCAACTCATGTTGTGCGCCCACCAAAGCTGCAAATAACTGCGCGAGGTTCGGAATTCGAGGGGAGGGTTTTTCTGGAGAGGGAACAAGGGGTTTTACGAGGTTACTTGACGCCAAAGGTGGGCGGTGCCGTGTATGATAAAGTAGAGAGAAATAGGCAGATTTGGTAGCAAAAGTTGTGTACTCCGTACGCAGATGCATCTCAAAATTTTCGATGACTGGAGGCAGAAAGTGGACTTGTGTTTTTTTCCCTCCCCCGCCCTCTCTTCCTATCCCTCAGTCTTTATGGTTTTCCATCCCTCGTCCCCATTCCCTAAACTTATTCCTCTTCTACTTGTTCATCAAACATACTCATCCTGAAGCGAACCATCTCAACTTTGGCACCGAGCGAGCTTGTGCTGCCCTCTGTCCCGTCGTCCTTTCCCTCGTCTTCATCGCCCGCCAGCTCCGCCGCCCACGCCGCTCCCTCGTCCGTGACGTGCCACCACCCACTGTTACCTACAAGGCCCTCCGGCATCATTGGATTCGCTTGACGAGTGGGAATTTTCCAAGCATTCGAAGGACCGCCCCTCACTTTTCGGACAAGCATCTGCCGCAACATTGTGGACTTTGGACTGAACCGCCCAGGACCGTGGACGCCACAGAAAACCAATCCCGGGGGCTTTCTGTCACTTTTCCAGCTTGTTGTCTTAGGTCATCTTGTATGATTACGGCAGACGATTCTTTCACGAGGCCAGCTGCACGTGGGTGTTAAAGCCAGTCACTCGCCTTGCCTTGGAAGACGGACGACCACTCGCTTCTCTACGCCCCTCCCGCCCGTTCTCCTCTGCCTGACTCTCTGTCTTGTTGCGCTTGTCAACGGCACAGAACCAGAGTGGGATTTTCGAGTGATTAAGGGAAGAGCCAAGAGACACATAGAGAAAGGGTAAAACAGATTGTACCCGAGGCAGCCCAGCAACACCTAGCACTCTGCACTCTATCCGCACCGGTACTACAGCACTCCTGAATCCAGAGTCCAGAGTCCAGCACCACCAAGCAGGGACATCCGGTTGCGGCATTGACACCGGCACTGACACTGGCATTGGCATTCTGGCATTGGCGCGCTGGCACTGAGGTGGCACTAGCACGGGACGGCGAGACGACTCACGTTCCCTTTCCTGGCCGTTCGGTGAGTTGAATTGGACCGGACTGGACCACCGCCAGAGCAGGTCCGCGTCTCTGCTTCCTGCTCCTGCTGCTGCTCCTGCTCCGTCTGTCTGTCTACCTGACTACGTTATTGCCGGATTTGCTGCTACTTACTTGCTTGCATTTTGCCTGCTCTACGGATACCTTACCTTACCGCACCTGACTAGTACCACAACTGCTTTGCTGCTCGCTACACGGACCAGCTTCTTCAGCTTCACCTTTACCTACAATCTCTCTCTCTCTCTCTCTATCTCTCCCCGACCGCTTGTTGCTGGATCGGTCCATCAATCCTTCCTGAAAAGTCTCCCTCCCTCGTTCGCCTTACTCTATTCTGGTCGGACCACCAGCATTGCAGCACCAGCGCCAACGCCAGCACCACCAGCAACCAAAGCAGAAGAACAAAAACGTTCCTTACCGCACACCCACCCGTCGAAGACTCCCACACTCTCATCCTTGTGGCAAACCTTGCCCACCGAGCCTGATCGATCTACCTAACTTACCTCACCACTGATTGACTCCCTGCCTCACCTTAACTGCCCGAGGTATCTTCTGGGCAGCAGTTGCATCCGTACCTCATTTACCTCCCACCTTAGCCGGAACGGCCACTGTCGTACAGCAGCACCATACCTTAACTACCTTACCTTTCGGCCAGCAACACACCTACCTACCGCCGGTACTGCCATTTGCTCCCTCCCACCACCACGTCCCAGAGCAGACGAGACCGCACCCCGATACCTCCCAGAACGAATCTCGCTCCTCGACCCCGCCGAATCCGAGCCTGCATCGTCGAATCCGCCTCTTGCCCGCATTTACTTAACCCTGACATTTGTCTGAGTCGACTGCCTATCTTTCTTCAACTATGCTACAGACGCATGGGGGACCTCACAACAATGGTACGTCCTTCGGCCACCCAACACAGAGCCCGCCTCCCGTCTCTCTCTCCCCTCAGACCCACGAAATGTTCCTCCCTCTCTAACACAGGCCTTTCCATGGCTCGCAGGCACCGATTCACATCACGAAGAACCTCGCGGAAGGAGCAGAACCCCAACAACACAGCTGCAACTCCCCAAGAACCGAAGCACCGGAAACCTCGCCGTTATAACCGACGACAACAACACTGGCCGCGGTCGAATGCGGTTTTCCTTCGATGCCGGATCTGTCGCAGACGGCAGCGACCATGTGCCACCAAGGTTGGTTCTTTCCCAACGATTACACCGTGATATTCCTTGAACGGTAAAGCTGTTGAGCTGATTGCGAGCTCATGGAAGAGTCGGGCGTTGAAGAATGCCAAGGCAAGCGTCTCGGCGACGAAACAGAGGGAGCTTTAATGTTTGGGATGCGCCAGGTCCGCGTGAGCGCATCACGGCATGGCTCATGCCAATGGCCAAACCAAGTGGGAGTCGAGCGTGAAA